CCTCATGCCGCTTGAGCGCTGATCAGAGGCTATGGAATGAGGCCCTGACTCAAGATATTATATCAGTAAAGTAAAAAGCTTGTTACAGTCAATTAGTTCATGCCAGGATACAGTGACTCTATTCTTGCCACGTCATGTCTCGGTGAGTTCTATTGTCATCCGAATTTTCCAAGTCTAAGAAATAAGGGCCGAGTCCGGGGTTGGCAAATAATGATGAAATGAAGCCAACGTCAAGGTCTGCATACGGATAATTGTTCGTCGCCAACCCAGGAATCTGCCAAATCAACTTCCCCGGGCGCGAGCGGCCGCGTTGCAGCTGATATTACAGCTAGAGCGACGCGACCGCACGCGTGCGAAGTAGCCCTTGAACAATGGCTATGATTCGAAGCGTCGTAATCTCTGTAATAACCCGAGTTTCATATTTAGCACAACAAACAAAGAATTGTCATCAGTTCACCGGCTAGAGTTCAGCTGGCATATGCGTTGCCCTTGAGGCTACGTCGTCGGTGGAACCACAGCAAAGTATAGTCGCTCATCTGACTGATTCGCACGCTGCTGCGGCCCTAAGAGGAGACTGTGCACAACGAGGAGAGTGTTGTCAAGGCGTTGTTCTTGTTTTAGTCTCAACACCAACTTGTTTGGCTGACCTAAATGATACCGTAATTTTGGGCTACGGTAGCCCGCAAGAACTGCGATTTTACTACATTGAATAGCGTCGACGTCTCCTCGTCAATCACACCCTTTCTCAAATATATGTAGGAATTGCTTGTAGGAACGCTGTGCTTATGGTGGCGCAGAAAGTCTACCAGGTTTCTACCAGATACGTCATTAAGTAGTTACTGCCTAGGATCATCAAGTTGGCACGACAAATTCAGTGAATTCTGGACAGCAACGGCCACAAAACTTGGACCTGGTGAGTGGATCGATTGGCCACCATACGGTAAGTTAAGGAAGCGTTACAGTGACAAGTTCAATTTGAGTTATTTCTCAACAGTTCAGTCCGATATCTCAATGCTCGTTGTGGAATAGATACGGATTTTACAACTAATATTTTCGAAAAAGGGAAACAGAATTGCAAAGCAAAGAATAGAAGACTTAGCCAACGGAAGCCTAGATTTTCTATAAAGCACATGGCACAATGACCAGCTATCTGTCTTTCGCGTCAAACCGACCCTTTTCAGATACTGACACACAAGGATCCGGGTCTTGAAGAAGTTCATGATCGGAATATTAAGAAAGAAAAGCGAGAGGATCAATCATCGACAAATCCGAATCCACAGTCCCCATCGTCACCAACACTCCACTTGGGCCACACAACCAATGTGCAAGACCAAGTTGGTCATACGGATCTTAAGACATCAGTTAAGCCCACTGATCAACCAACGGGTAAAGTTGAGCACGATTCGACTGCTTTCGAAGGGCCCACTGCTGCCAACGGTACCACTGGCGACATGAAGAATGAAATGGAATCGTCGTCCGCTCCCGTGACAGGGAGTGAAAATAAACAGACAAGAAGCGAGGGGCTCGAACTTGTGGATGAAGTTGGAAACTCCACTCAATCCCTTCTTGGGGAAACGCTCGCCGCGGAAACGGATAAACTATCAACGGGGACACCAGTGAGTGTGACCGACAAGACAAATTCCAAGGAGCCAGAGAGAAAAATGAAATTCCGGTTGAAGAACACAGTCCATAACTGTCTACCGGTGAGGTCTGAATCGACCACTCTCTGAACTGGCCAGTGAATCCAGCACCGCGCTTTTCAGATCCACACCGCCGACATGCTCGGTTTCGGCAGCTTGGACTTGTCGCATTCTGTTGCCCTGAGAGTTCCAATCGTTTGTATGATCATAAGCATGGCCGGTACTGCCATCAGTGTGTTTCATGCGTTCACAAATCTCTCGCGGCCTCGAAAAGTAAGCCACGCTCTCTATAAAACGCCCCGACCGCAACCAGAGTTGCTCTCTTTCAGTGTCGAAGTTTCATCGAAAATGTGGCACAGGTTGTGCTGTGGACCTTATGCGCCCTTACATTGCTTTTAATCAGACAAGACTGGAACTTGAAATGGGAACTTGGGACGGGCAGAGCATTTTTGCCACTGTATCCTGCAGCTTGGCACTGTGCTGAGGTAAGGGTGAAGTATGGACAAAAAATAGATGGTTCACTGATCGGTTATCATTTGCAGCTGCTCTGCTACGCAGTGGTGATCGTGTATCTCGCCGAGTGTTACTTCTACGATTACACCTATTATAAGATCTATTACGAAGAGACGCTTGGAAATTATACTGTAGGTTACCGATCGGTTGTCAACTACTTCAGAATTTCAATCGGCCCTGATTCAGGTTGTCGATCGTCCTGAGTACGGTAACTCGATCTACACAAGCACAGTGGAAATGACTGAGGATACTTCACTTTAAAATAATAGCTGGTGTAGTCTGATAAAATTGGTAGTAATTAACGATTGTAACAGTTTGAAAAAAGTGGGGAAGCAGTGGTACTGCAACGAGAAGGCTTTACTGGACAACAGACTCTATAGTAAATGCGTCAAGTGAGAGATAAAAGTTGAAAAGCAAAAGAATTGAAAAAGGAGAGCAACAGTGAAAAAAACCGAAATATGAACAGAGATGAAATGTGGAGGATGACTTGAAAATTCCACTTTTGGTTTCAAAAAATCTTATATAGAAGGGGAAGCGACAAACAGGATGAAAAAAACATCTGAAATCCACAAAAAGAAATCAAATCAACTGTAGAAACCCACTTCTCCCTTGGCGTCCCCGATCAGACCGATCTGCGTGGCCACGGCTTTGGCAGTTGTTGGATGATCGCCGGTGATCATGAAGACCTGCGATTTTCGACATTTAGGTATGTCTGTTACCGAAAAATCTCTCAGAAACCGACTACCTTGATTCCAGCTCCTTTACATTGTTGAATAGCTGCTGCAGTCTCCGGTCTAGAAATCGATGAATTATTTCTTGGGGCAACAGCTTCTAATCAAGAAATCTCATAGAGCAAACACCCGACTTCACTATGTGAACTAATCGGTACAGTTCGAAGACTGAATTTAGCATTCACAACCACCCAAGACAAATTCATCACACAAAATCAAGGGCAAAATTATGCAGTAGGTCAAATGGGCTATTGGAAGATAGATCGTTGACGTTGACTAATTGAGGCAGTTACCAAAGACATGGTTTTCTGGACAGATAGTAAACTGAGAGGCAGTCAAGTCGCATTGTTTACGTAATAATCCTTACTATATATAATCGTGTCTGCTGTGACCAAATCCGGTATTACCTGAAGGAACACCTGGAGAGGTGGGAACCTGGCGGGAGTATAGGGAAAAATTAACAGAGCACATGTGAACTCAGCAGAAATTCCCAAACCAAAAAGAAGTAAAAGAAAAGGAAATAAGTACTTGAAGGAAAAGTAAGAAAGACCGGGATTTATGAATTGAAATGGGAATAATGAAGGCGGAACATGCACTGGAGTGGATGATTCCAAGAAAAAATTCTTTAATTGATTTCATAACAACCGAGACGAGACACGGAAAATTGAGGGTGAGGAATGGGTCAACAAATAAAAGCGGTGCTTTCTAGATAATATCATACTTTAAATCCACCATAGTCTACAGGCCGGATTTCCAAGATACGGAGCTCAGATTACATTCATGACTCTGCTTAGAATGCTCCTCGTTGAGATGCACGCGCTAACATGCGTAGCCTATTGGCGTTATATGTTACGCAGTACGAGCAGCCAAACCCTTCCAGTTTTTCAAAATTTAATGCCCCATTCGATGTCATCGCACTACTGACTAGGTAGCCTGAAATGTACTACCTTGGTGGATCCATAATGGCGGCCATTCCAAGAAATACGAGGTCTTCAGGCCAACGATCTTCTCCGGCACCGAACTTGGCATTCATTGGTGCGTTGAAATGCGCTTGAGCAAAGGCGATCACTCGTCGCCCCGCGTTTCCCAGTGACTCCCACGCCATCTGTAATATGCATAGCTCATTCGTACGTTCTGAAGGTTGAATGACTCATCCGCGATGAGCCAATTTTGGCATATCAACTTCAATTGGAAACCTGATTTTTTAGCTCTTGTCGAGCCGCTGAAAGAAACGAGGTAGGAGTTTAGTTGTAGGCAAACATTCATCAAGGTTGAAAATTTTGTAAAGTTGATCCCACCTGACATTCCTGTCTGAAATTGTCGTCGATTTCGACCAAATCCTTGCCCACTCGCGCCTTTTTGCATTTCCCAAGGATCACCTCGGGGGCGCCTTTCATCATGACGACATAGCGACATTCAGTCTGAACACAGGCATTCAAGATATATTTGTTTTATAAGGAAGAAGGGCGCTTGTTTTTACCTGACTCGGTTCTGCAAGGTTTTCTACTGGTTGGACATCTGCTAAACATCTACTGACAACCAGCTGCCATCGACGGATCGAATTGAAAGGGATCTCATGAACTGACTAAATTGCCATCTCGTAGTGTAGTCCAGTATCTAGCAATTGAAGAGAACCAGAAGAACAGTGAGGTTTTCCTCCCGTTATGAAATGCGCTCAGAAAAAAAGAATAACTGAAAAAACAGACGAAAAACCCGGACAAAAGTGAAAAAACAGAGAGGAATCAAAGAGCCGCAAAAAACTTCGCTAAAAAAAGAAATCACCAAAATGAACTTTGGAGTAATGAACAAATTAGACTTTAAGCCATTTTATGAGTGGCTATCAACTGAGCATCGTTCCAGTAGGTTGCTCTAGGAGCTGAAGCCCGTAAAGACTCACATGATAACGCTGTCGAATTCCTTCAACACTCGCGTTCAATTCCACATATTTGACCAAAGCAACATCACTTGGAATCCCGAATATGTCATTCTTGCGACTCTTCGTTCTACCAGAGATTGGATCTGAAAGCGCCTGTATTGGTAATTATATGTGGAGAATAAACAATCTGTGCTTACGAGATGGTATAGGAGCAGAATCCCCAGATTGAAGTCCTTCCTCAAGATTTTGTAAGCATTTGGATTCAGCGCTCGGAAGGGTCGGACGTCTATGTTCGGACACCTGACCTGTCCGGGTATCACTAAAGAAGCTGGTCTTATTGCATACCCATTGAAATCTGCCCATGACATATTGGTAAACGGGGCTATAACAAGACCCACACAATAGTGAACTTCTTCTTCAGCGGTCCGCTTAGCATCGCTTCAGACGCAGACTTCTGGAGGGCTCGCATTGTTGAAACACGACGCATCGAGCGGCGAACGTGCTCGAACTGAGCTCGGTTACAGACGGACATCACTGAAATCACAAACTTGCGCTGATGTACAGCATGCTTCCATAACAACTCGATTAGTGCTAGTTATTTAGCTTTCAAAAAGCTCCTACCACTGAATTAACAATTAATCATGGGCAAACTGTACCATGTATGTCCGACTATTACTTTAGAACATTACTAGTTTTATTTGAAATTGTGGTAGAGACTGTGAACGCCAAAAGGTAATCGTTGGAAGTTCAGCGAGTCAAATCACCTGTCAGAATTTCAGGGAGTGGTTCTTCGAGACGATCATTGTTCCTGACCGTCGATCGCATGGCTCGTATGTGAGGATGCTTTAGATCGACACCAGCACCTGGAATTCTCATAAACATTTCTGAGGCATGTGAAAGGTGCGAGAAGCCAAAAAATAAAGGACGGCGTTTGCAGAAGTCGTTCATCGATTCCTATCCTGTGGGTTTCTACCCAGAACCTAACCACTTACTCCCAAACAATGATTCATCAATAAACTGATGAAAAGATAATGAGGGGTCTGAATAGCTTCACCCACGAAGTAAAGTCCTGAATTCGCCATTTTATGAGATTCTCGGGCAGGGTAACACTTATACAACGCACGCTACAGGAACCAACATATTTGTTATCTTCGGAAAATGCGATTCAGACTAACCGGTAACCATTCGCCGATTGAACCATAAATCTGTGACTACCATCTGATTCATCGTTAACGTGCCTGACTTATCGGCACAGATTACCGTCGCCGCTCCGAGTTCATCTGCGAAAAACTCAATATGTTTCTCACTTCCTCATCCTTGAAAAGCTAATTTAAATCTTTTCTCTTTTGAAATGCCTACTCCTTTTGAAATACTCCTGAGTGAAGAAATAAGGTAACCACAAACAGAAGAGTTTTGCCAAAAAAGTCAATAAACTGTATAAATCGTAGGATAATGAATGATCAGGAAGTCAGCTACGACTGTGCAAAAATTCTGAATCGGCATGACCAACCAATGAGATTGAGGTTTTTGATGTAAATATTCTTCTGAGCCATTCGCCGCGCAATTATCCGCAGTTGGGACATCACAGTGGCCGGTAGACCTTGCGGTATGTTGGCCACGATCACTACCAGAAAACCGACTACGAAGTGATCCAGAACATTCTCGAACCTGAACGAGTCCCACTTATAAAGTCTAAATTACAGTAACCTTATTGGTCCATTCTGTTTCAGGGGAAAACACTGGATTAAAACAATTAGTGAACGTACTTTGCGACGATGCATCCTATGAGAAACATCGCCACAGCCATGCAGATGGCTAGCACTGAGATGAATTGCGCAAATGTGCGAAGCTCCGCCTGCAGCTTACTCTTAGTGGGCGGGATTTGTGTGTGCAGGTTTGCGATTCCACCAAGAACCTGTAAAAATAAGCATTTTGTACGACGAGGAATTACGATTAATGCCATCTAGCTTTAGGTAATCGGCTAAAAAATAGGAAAAAATTTGATTGAAAATATTTCTCCAATCAAGTAACACATCAGAAACCCAGTAGAGTCACTAGAGTTATTGTTGTAAGTTCTATGTATTTTTTGATGACTTTTCGACGAAATGCCCTTATTTCAACATTAGAACCCCCTATCAGAAAACCTAGCCAACTACGGCAACTTTTTTTTTTGCCTTGGGTGAGGTCAATGGTATGCATGTATGGAACACTACCAAATTGGCCTAGAAACGAAGCGGCCCAGCCTGAAAGCTCTTGAGTGAATACTTACTGTGAACTTTCCAGTTCGAATGACAATGCCCAGTCCGTCACCTTCCGTACAGTACGATCCCTTGAAGGCGACATTCCTCGAGTCAAATACGGACACATAGGCAGCAGCCGCTTCTGCTGTGCATTCCACAGGTGTCTTCTGACCTAAATTTATTTCCCTATCAGGAAACACCAAACAACTCTTTGATCGAAGCAGCATTCGCCTAACCGGTCACTTCGGACACCTCAATCGTCAGGCAGTTTGTCTGAAGTATTCGGATATCGGCTGGTATTCGAGATCCTGACCTGAATATTGGAAGTAGGATGGAATTCGCTTGTTGCCTAGTAAATATTAATAAATATGAATTCATGGTAAACAAGAGACGAAAGGAAACGAAGAGGAAAAGGATACTGAATAAAGATAGTTTATTAGTATTTGGAGCTCTTAACAAACCTGATAACCACCAAGTCACCGACAACAATGTCTTCGGTGTTGATCTCCTTCTCCTCACAGTCCCTGATTACTATTGCCTTCGATGGCAGAAGTTTTGTGAAACTTTTCAAGACCTGAAGCGATTGAAAAGTTTTCGAATTATCGGCCCAGCTATGTAAAAAGAGGCTCTTCCACATTTCCCCTTTTGTTTACGATATCTTATGCGAAACATGCTATACTGAAAACTCACCTTTCGAGCTTTACTCTCTTGCCATACAGAAAGAAGACTCATAACGAGAACAACAAGTAATAGAATAAAGGCACAATAAAGATTGAGCGGTTCATTGAAGCCTTGTGCTCTATGTGCAAAATAAGCGGCTATGGAAAGAAATGCCGCACCTGAACAGGTTATAGTAGCCCGGATTATGTTAAAGGAAAGCAAAAGGGAGGGTAGCAAAACTTCTGGAGCAACTAACCCGTCAATAGCAGCCAAAATTTGAAATGAAATTGCCTGATAAAAACCCTGAAGAGGTGTTCCTCTTTAGGAGGAGGCAGAACGTTCCCACCGCCATCACGTAAACGTTTTCTGGAAGAAGAAGGTAGATCGACTCACATCAACACTCACTTTTTTTAGCAAAAACAATAACAATCATTCGGCACTAAGCACCACCTGCAAAAAAACAGCCCATCATGGATTTCAGGGTGAAGGATAAATCTTTGGCATTTAACAATCAATTTTCGGAATGGCCTCCGATTCGAACGCGATTGAGAGCATATCAGGCGTTTTAGGCATATGTTTGGTAAAGAATGAGTTGCGGTTACGAGCCGATGTAAAACCCAGTAATTTTATCCTCCCGGACGGATTCTGTCTCTTGTAAGCGACACAGAAGGAATGGTTGGCCTGGCTAACCCTAGTTGCTCAACACTTTGCTCAACCAGAAGCCTTTTCTATTCTTGAGCCGCGATTGCATAAATGTTGATAGAAACCAATCCATAGACCTTTCCACCGAGGTTTATTTCAATATTTCTATTAACTCAATATTCTCACGTGCTCAGTAGACAACAGCGAGGTCTCATAAATATTTGAATTGAATTACCGACAAAAAATCGGAAGGTTTACCTGGCTTCTTCAGTGTGTAGACCATCACTGCGTTCAGGGAATTCATGATGAATATAGGAATCCGGATAGAGATCTTTTAATTGTTCAATTGTCAAATGATGCTCCACAAAGGAAATTCCTACGGCCTACGAAATCGAACAGTTCGTTCCTTTATGTACTCTCAAGAAGTTCTAAAACATGGAGCTCACCTCTCTTGCCTCTGAGATGTCCTTGTTCCCAGGGTTCACTTTAGCTCGTCGTCTCCATCGGCTCCAAATGCCTAAGTCTGCTTTGCTGTTGAGATCTGAAGAGATATTTTAGATACTCAGCATTGGTAAGTAGTATGCAATGAAAAGCCAAAGAAAGTAACTCACTTGTGCAAGGCTTCAGTCGACAATCGCTCTTGCAGTACTCTTCTGAAAAAATACATAGACAACACTATTATCGCGGATCACTTTGACATTCCCACTTCAGATAGTTCATCTCATAGAGAGGCTAGCTATAAAATCCATTTGAATCCATTTGAATCCAAATCCACTGTTTTATGGTACAAAAAATATTTTATTGTCAGCCCCTTTTCGGAGAAAGGCAAATTCCCACCTATCACCAACCTTAGCTTCTTTGCTAGAACACTTCTAACTGCTAATCGAATAATCACATTAACTGAAAGTGGGCAACTCTGCAGTGGACAGTGGAGCACTATAAACGCCTCCGTATGGTCATGGTTTGTGGATCGAATCTGGGTCGACATCGTCCAAAACCAACAAAGCCTTCCTACACTCCTAGGTCGTTTACTTGGTACCACNAGACACTAAAATCCAAAATGCAAATTGAGTAAAGGGCGCACATCAAAAAAGGGACTGGGTATGTCAACATTTTGTCGTTTATATGCGAAAGTACTCAGCGGTCTCGCCAAGTGGTATGAATCTTCTATCATAACGTTGAAATCGTCTCTTCGTTCACCAAAAATGTATTTCAATGAAAACTCAAAGTCGGTTGTTACTCAGGTCGCACTTTATACGAATTCTTGCCAATCAGCGAGTTTTAGAGCTCTCTTCAACCAACGAACGTTACCGATGATATAGGGTCTCCGGTGCATTCATTTAGGAGCGCTCAGAGTGTCTTCCACCCTCATAGATCACTGACAGCTGCCTTTATTTTGCAAGAGGACAGAGTTTTATAAAAACTGTACAAAGTAAACAGTTCCACTTACTCAACGTCATTATCAGTGAACAAAACGCCCCTGACGGACGACGACACTGTCAGTTGTCCGTAACTTTGTGATTGGAAAGTGGATGGACGATAAATTAGCTGAAAATTACAGTATTCAAATGAAAAACGGATTCGTTAGAACGGCAAACATCTTAGAACAATTACAATGGTAAGGAGGATGCAATAGTCGCAACACAAAACATGAAAACTTATGGTCTTTCAAGCTACAGTCAACTTGTTGCAGTTTTATAACTGGAACAGTTCGTTTTCGCAGAGTTACGGTAACGGGATACATAGTCTGGTAAGTGATCACCATTGAAAGAGCAGATCATTATTAAAAATAATATTGTAGGGGAACTAACTTGATGGGAGCGCAAAAGATGGCTTTCAGAAGCTCATGCTATTGACTGAAATGACGATCACTAACGAGAAGAAGTGAAAACCANTGACGGACGACGACACTGTCAGTTGTCCGTAACTTTGTGATTGGAAAGTGGATGGACGATAAATTAGCTGAAAATTACAGTATTCAAATGAAAAAACGGATTCGTTAGAAAGGCAAACATCTTAGAACAATTACAATGGTAAAGAGGATGCAATAGTCGCAACACAAAACATGAAAAATTATGGTCTTTCAAGCTACAGTCAACCTGTTGCAGTTTTATAACTGGAACAGTTCGTTTTCGCAGAGTTACGGTTACGGGATACATAGCCTGGTAAGTGATCACCATAAATTACCATACAAAAATGTCGTTTGAGAGTTGAATCAATTGAAAGAGCAGATCATTATTAAAAACAATATTGTAGGGGAAAATAACTTGATGGGAGCGCAAAAGATGGCTTTCAGAAGCTCATGCTATTGACTGAAATGACGATCACTAACGAGAAGAAGTGAAAACCAGTTGGAAAAGGAAAAGGGCCCCCTGTCATGGGGTACGGACTGGATCCAGTATATTCAGTTCCCGCTTACTCCTCACTCGTTCGCTGATTGGTAGCAGGATAAACCCAGAGCCGGGATAACGTTGAAGACAATAAACTTTATCAGTAGGTCGATGCAGAAGGCATGGCGCATTACTGAAGGATTCTGATTGTATTACTGTTTCTTCCACTAACAACCAAAATAAACATGAATAATGGGTCACACTCCCACTTCTTCCCATGTTTCCGTGTGGATCTTTGAACTGGGAACCAGTATTCGACAGGTAACCAAAAGACTAAATATAGCGATCGACATTATCGAAAAAACGGACTGTGACGGGAAGAAAAAAATCCGAACCAAATCGGATCAATGACGCTAATCAAAAGAAACGTCCTCTCCGGACTGGTTCTAACGGAGACCGTAACATTTCTGATGAGTACAGTACGACGAGCGTCTTTGACCTTTTCCATCAATGAGAACAGCACTTTTGAGCGTGATTTTTCAGAATTCTGAGATCAAAAATCGGAATAATAATGACGACGGTAGAAATATTTACGGCCGAAAAAATAAAATATTCGGTTCCCATTAGCCGATCCTCCAACTGGTTTCGAACTCGCATACTTAGCATATGTTTTTCAGGTGATGACGAAGACTTCTTGCAGCCACAGAACGTTGAGACCACCTTGGTACAGCAGCTCTAGCCATTGCGCCACTACGTCTTTTAGAATACAATATAGAGTAATTATAAATAACTTAATTGGCAGAAAGAAAGTTAATTCAGATGAAACTGGAAAAAATGGGTTAGCAAAAGCAAGGGTTTAGCTCAAAAAACGAATTTAGTCATAACTACGACTGATTTTCAGTCATAAAACCTTTGCCCCGCCGTTTTACGAACACATGACTGTTCCGATGACTAATCGGAAACAAAATAAAAATAGAAATGATGGAAAACTATTCTGGGGCTCGTTATGAATTCGAGGCCGTTTTCCACAGTATGAATGAGAAATAAAAAGAGAACGATGAACGCGTTCTGAGACAGAAGGCAATCAAGTTGATGATGACTGTTTTCTACCCAGAGGAGGTGAAAGAGGGGCTAGAGGCGGATAAACAAGGACCATAAAGATGAGTCGGCTTTTCGTTCTTTCACTTTTCACTCAGCACTAAAGAGCTTCCATACGCCGCGAGTAACTTCTAAAAGATTTGAACCGCTGATGAAATTTTTGAAACACTTCGTCGTCCATACGATACGACGACCCCATTCAGGATCGGAACCGTTTCCACAAGGTCGACCGGTCTCTGAGAAGTACTCAAAAGGCTGGAAAAGTCGACCTAATTCGATCGATCCGTCAGAGGGAGCAGAACAAAACGAATCGAATCGAATCTCGAGTCGAGATCGACCGACTGACGACTGTCATAAGCAGCCATTATTGCGTCGCTCACACTGGGAGCGATTATCGCATGTGTTAAACAACGTCTCGAGACCGTGCAGCAGTTTGACGGTGTAAACCGACAGACCCACCGACCCACCACAGTCTACAGAAGCCACCGATGTGGCAATGATGACGTGCATGTTAATGTGATGATTGCTTTGCATATCGATCGCTTAGAGCTGCATGGGTCCATTCCATTACAACCAGTTCACATGGCTATCTCTTTCATATGACAGTCCTTAGGATCAACAATGAACCTCCTTCGAATCTATTTTGGGCTCCACAGATAGAAGGGTAGGACAACAACATCGCAGAATGCCTAGGCCAGCAAAAGAAATTCCCGATTGGCAAACGCTAGCAATTATAACTCTCGACCCCAAAAAATTAATTATTACCCCGAATATTACTACTATACCATCATTTCATCCTGCTTTTTTTTCGTAAAAAGAAACACGGAAGGAAAATCCGCGGTATGAACAAATGAAAATAATGGGTATAAAGGAGAAAATCTTCTATCAACGATCAAAAAAGAAAAATAATAGATGATAAATAAGGAAAAATGAGAACAGAAGGAATGGACAGAAGAAAATTATAGTGTGATTATAGAAATGAATAATATCATAAGCGTAAGTTCTACCAAAAGAAAGAGGATCATGGGCAAAATTCAATTCCTGCAGAGATGGGTCATGCGCTTCTAATCCAGAGATAGGTTATGGGCAGGTTATGGGCCAAGCCAAAGGCAGGTCCATGAGGTGGGAATTTTCCACTTCACAACTTCGCCCCATAGTTTTCTTGTATCTTAAATATGAAAGACACTTCAATCTCTCAACTATTCCATATATGGTAAGTCCAATAGACCACGGGATAAAGAAAGTTAGCTACAACATGGCACATCCTTGTAAGAGCGAAGGTAGGGAGGTGCCCGGTGGGTCCACTATCCCACCCATGGTCGAGAGAGTGAAACCCGGATTGACACCCGCTCATAAAAACCGAATCTTCCGTCGCTAGGGGATCGCTTAAAAGCACTATCACCCATCCTGCTTGGTACATAATTCTTCGTATAGGCCACATACTCCTTTGAATAACTTGATTTTGAATGGGATTAGAGTACAAGGTACACCCCCAAGATGGGATTGGTTACTGGCAAGAAACTTCAGACTTTTATCCTTGTGAAAGCTTATGTCCACAACCTGTCCAAAAAAGAAAGGATGTAAAGTGTGAAGTGTCAGGGACCCGTGTTATTCTGCCGGCTTTCCAGAGTACAAATACCGTAACTACCCCCAATACATGCGCCTTTAACGGATAAACCGATAATCGTTTACGATAAATTGTTTTCCACTAAATGTGTAAGAATGACGTGAGTGTGGGGTACACTGCAAGGGCACAGGGCACTACTACGACGGGTGGAGTGATAGGTGTAGTGGCGGTCGGTTGAACAAGTTGGCAAGAACGGGTTACACCTTCATAAGGAGTCGATAGATCGTGGCAAGACGGGAGCGTGACAAGAAGGAGAGCACCCCTATCCTCTTCTGGGTATCTTTTGTATGATCAAGCGGCAGTTTATACATTGCTGCTGACACATGAACTTGACACCTCAGACAATAAACAGGTGGATTAAAATAAAATGGAAAAAATTCACTTTAATAAGCTGCATCAGCATTTTCGGTTGTAAAGCAAAAGAAAAGCCTATGGAAACTGGAGTGTTCATTGAAAAGTGATTTGTGTCTCACCAGCAACTCACCACATCTCGAATTTTCATTCACAATTACAATTCATGGCAACTTATTGCCTAGGGAACCTGTACAATCAACAGTGTAACAAATAAGTACTGTATATGGTCATGTTTTCGTCGT